TTCAGTTGGCATAAAATCATAGGGGATGATGTGGATATGTTAAAACTTTAGGGGATCATATGGTAAAATGTAAATCTTTTGGGAGGTTATATGTAATGTACCATTTTCTTTTCTAATGACCTATAGAAAATATTCACTTCTCTAGGAAAAATTACTGTTGACCAAAGGTGTATTTAGACTTATACGCTAATTTTTCAACTTACAGCTTATGCATTCGGGTTACTTTCTTGCCTGGTTACACATTCTTCTTCTTCTTCTCTTTTTCTTCATCTCTTTCTCCATCTCTTCTAATTCCAGACCTAATTAGGAAAATTGAATTCTAGAACTTGACATTTGGTATCAGAGCTATCGATCCTTGGCTGCTGGTGATATCGACCATGGCAAAGAATACTCGATATCGGTCTCCGGAAGATCAACTCAAGAAATAAGAAAGTAGACCCCAAGAGATAGTGTAATCCATGGCCACATTTCAAGCTACTTGTTAGAATGAGTTGCAGCAGAAGTTCCACAATGAGATGGAACACAATAACTCTAGATTGGAGGCAATTGTGGGCAATCTAGATCAGAAGTTCAACAAGATGGAGCAAAAGTTCAACACCCTATTAAAGGTGATGATGAAGGAAAAGGGGCTTCAGGACAATGACGTAAGAGCATTAGAACCAATTCTACCAACTCCACTAGTACATTTGAAATTGATGACTCCAAATGGGGTGCCAGGATCCCAACATGAACCAAGAGGTAAACCATTTGTACCCAATTTGCCTAGAATAGAGTTGCCAATGTTCTCCTCGAGTAACCCTAGGGAATGGTTAACAAAATGTCAGAAATATTTCTTGAATTATCAAATACTAGAGAATTAGAAAATAGATATGGTTGAAATGTTTTTGGAAGGAAAAGCTGACAATTGATTTCAAGGGGTGAAGAGAGCAAGGCCTCGGTTATCTTGGGGGGAATTCAGTGAATTGTTATGTGAGAGGTTTTCTGGAAAAGGGTCCCTTGATATAGCGGAGGAGTTTAATAAATTGCAACAGAGAGGGACAGTTGAGGAGTATGAGGAAAAATTTGAAGAACTAAAGACTTTGATGTTAACCAGGAATCCACAATTTGACAAGTCATATTTTATTTCCAATTTTATCAGTGGCTTAAAAGATGAGATCAAACCCATGGTAAAGATGTTCAAACCACAGACACTATTAAAAGCCTTTGAAGTTGCTAAGTTGCAAGAATGCTTCTTGGAAATTCAGTCCAAACAATCTAAGTCTTCTGGGAAGATTGCATTAGAGCCTATATTTGGGATGTATAAGAATCATGCAAGTGGTCAGAGCCATCCTAGCTCATAAAGACTTAACGTAACTGCTCCAACTTCCAAGAAAATTGATTCTGCACACAGAGAGTTCAGTAAAATTTCAGTTGAGGAAATATAGTATAGGCGCAAACATAACTTGTGTTACAAATGTGGGAAGAAGTTTGGAGTTGGCCATCAGTGTAAACCAGGAGTTTGAACTACATAGGCATTAATGAGGAAGAAGAACCAACTTTGAGGATGCAGAAAGGGAGCAAGATGAACACACAGGTAGAGTGGGTGAACTTGCCGAGGTATCCTAAAATGCCTTATCTAGAGCCATAAAGAGAAAGTCAATAATGTTGATAGGTAATCTAGGAGGTTTGCCAGTCAAGATTTTGGTAGATACAGGAAGCTTTGATAGCTTCATTCGTCATAGGATTGTCAACCTGTTGCTTTTGTCCCGTCAAGCAGTTAATTCTTTTGATTGTGATCCTGGCAGATGGGACTAACATAACTAGTGGAGCAATCTATCCCAACATGGCCTGGTTAATACAAGAATACCAATTCCAGTTTGATCTAAAGATAATGGAGCTGGGAGGATGGGATATCATCCTTGGAGTAGACTGGATGTGTTAATTCAATCCTATCACATCCAACTTCCATACTCTCAACATTGCTCTTAGCAGCAGGGGAGATTTACTGCACCTTTAAGGCTTCATAAACCAACCTGCAATAGAGCTGGTGAGAGGCAAGGACCTCAGATCATTTATACAGGAAAAGTAGAGAAGTTGTGTAGCCTTGCAGGCAAAACTAAAAGGGAATCAAGAGGAGAGTCTCCCAGAAACAATAGAAAGAGTCCTGCAACAATACCCCAAGTGTTTGCTACTCCAAAGGGGCTATCTCCAGAAAGAGAGCTGGACCACCAGATCATTCTTAAACCAGGAGCTGAGCCGTTCAAGCTCAAACCACACAGGTGCCCCCATTCCCAAAAAATAGAAATTAAAAAATAGGTTACTGACATGCTCTCAAATAGGATTATTATACATAGCACTAGTCCTTTTGCTTCCCCTATACTGCTAGTTAAAAAGAAGGACAATTCTTGGAGGTTGTGCATAGATTGCAGGAAGCTGAATGAGTTAACTGTAAAGGATAGGTTCCCCATCCTAAACATAAATGAATTACTAGATGAGTTGCATGGCACAAAGTACATATCCAAACTAGAACTTAGAGCTAGTTATCACCAACTAGTGGTTAAAGCGGTTGACACCCCTAAGACTGCCTTTCAAACACATCACGGCCATTTTGAATTCTTGGTGATGCCCTTTGGATTGATAAATGCTCTAGCTACTTTCCAAGCTTTGGTGAATAGGATATTTCAGCCATATTTGAGGAAATTTGTGTTAATTTTGATGATATCCTGATTTGAAGTCCAACTTTGGAGTTGCATGCACAACACTTGCAAACTGTGCTAAGAGTTTTGGCTGATAACCAACTATACTGTAAGAGATCCAAATGCTCATTTGCTCAGACTTCAATAAAATACCGAGGACATGTGATCTCTAAAGCTGGAGTAAGTATGGATTCAACTAAGATAGAATGTATAAAAACCTGGCCTATTCCCAGTACAGTCAAAGAATTGAGAGGATTTTTGGGGTTAAATGGATATTACAAACGATTCATTAAGGGCTATGGGGTGAGCTGTAAGCCTCTAACTCAACTATTAAATAAAGAGAGGTTTGTATGGAACCATAATGCTCAAATAGCTTCTGAAGATCTCAAAAAAGCTATGACTACTGCACCAGTATTGAGCATGCCAAACTTTGAACTTCGTTTTGTAACAGAAATTGATGCATGTGAAGTAGGCATTGGGGCAGTATTGATGCATCAAGGACATCTTGTAGCCTTCCTTAGCAAGGCCCTATCAACCCAGAACCTGGGACTATCAGTATATGAAAAGGAGCTATTTGCTTTAGTACTGGCTGTAACCAAATGGAAGCACTACTTGGTTGGCCATCACTTTGTCATTAGGACAGATCACCAAGCCCTCAAACACCTATTGGAACAGACGCTTACAAATCCATTACAACACAAATGGCTCACCAAATTGTTAGGCTTAGATTATAAGATACAGTACAAGAGGGGTTCAGACAATGGAGTGACTGATGCTCTTTCTAGGAGAAGGGTAGAGGGAACTAGTGACAGTAATGCAGTTGTACATCAGATATGTGCCATTTCCGTAGTACAACCAGCTTGGATGTAAGAGTTGCTTGAGAGCTATGATGGGGATGCAGAAGCTCAATAGAAAATATCTGAGTTCCTGTTAGATCCGAATGCAATTTCAGATTATCATCTGGAAAATGGGGTGCTAAAGTTCAAAGGTATGTGGGATCTACTAATAATGTCAAAATCAACTTAATTAGAGCTCTACATGATTCAGCTATTGGGGACATTCTGGTCAGAGGAGGTGCTTATATAGGGTACAAACTCTATTCTACTAGCTTGGGATTAAGAGAGACATCATTTGGTATGTCAGATCTTGTGATGTTTGCCAGAGAAGCAAACATGAAAATGTCCTTTACCCCAGACTGCTACAACCTATACCAATACCCCAACAGGCCTGGTCATACCTGTCCATGGATTTTATTGAACAACTTCCTCTATCTCATAGATTTGATACTATTTTAGTAGTGGTGGATCGGTTAACCAAGTTCAATCATTTCATTAAGCTCAATCATCCATATTCAGCACAACAAATAGCTTAGGTTTTTCCTGACAATGTATATAAATTACATGTCTGCCAGAATCAATAATTTCTGACTGAGACAGAATCTTCATTAACAGATTTTGGCAGGAGTTGTTTAGCATGCTAGGAATAAATCTACATTACAGTTTATCCTATCATCCTCTGTCTAATAGTCAAAGTGAAAGGGTGAACCAGTGCCTAGAGAATTATCTCAGGTGTATGTGCAGTAAACATCCTTCACACTAGACTAGTTGGTTACTTACAGCTTAACTTTGGTACAACACTAATTTCCATACAAGCTTGTAGGTAACGCCATTTGAAGCATTATATGGGTACAAACCAAACCATATACCTCTGGGACCTTTCGATTAGAGTATCATACCTGCTACAACTAACATGGTACAGGAAAGGTTCCAAGTTATATCCCTCATCAAGGAGAACCTAGCCAAAGCTCAAAATCGTATGAAACATTTCGCTGACAAACACATGACTGAAAGAGTTTTTCAGGAAAGTGATTGGGTGTTCCTCATGTTACAATCTTATAGGCAGCAGACAGAAAGTCTATGCAAAAGCATGAATGACGGCCTTCTCAATATCTTAAAGCTTATGTCCATATAAATCCATACTTCAGAACAACAATGATATGCTGGATATCCAACAGAATAATACAAACATCAGAAAAAGATGATAAAAGTATGAATCTCTTGCACAAAGCCAAATTTTCATGAAACGCTAAAGAAAACAGCAAGCTATTGCATTGGATGGCAAGCCCAATGACAAGATAGAAAAAACATTTCAAGCATTCTCATTTAAGGAAGCTAATTTTGAGAAAAAAGAAGTTACAACATGTACATTTAATATAAATTATTCATCAAAAGAATTAAGGACCAAATTTGATGCATCTCTATGGCAACAACTACAGATTACAGTAACTTTTTAACAATATAACATGAAACCAAAGCATGATAGGCTCATAAATGATTCTTCTACAAGCCAAGAGTAAAAGAGGAGAAGATAGAACATGGAATGAGGATTTACGTACATGGCTAGGAGGTATGTGTTTTCCACTTAAAAGGTCTAGCAGAACGGTTCCATAACTGTATATTACACTCTCCGGAATTACCCTACCTGGGAAAATTAAAGGAAGTAAAGTAAGCTACATAAAAGGCTAGGCAAGAGTAATAGTTAAACAACAGTTGGATAGGATATCAAAATAAGATACTCTGTCAAAGACAGCATATTTTTGTCTTTATGGATATTATGAGGCATTACTCCATCCTAACACGAGTGGACAACTCTAGATGAGAAATAAGATATGCTGATTCGCTTAGAGCCACAAACAAATAGTCAATTGTATTGGAAAGATAATTTGGTAAAGAAATCAGTGAAGCATTAAAAAAAATGAAAAGGAAAACAAACAAAATACATATATTGCTGAGAACACTTGTCAGAAATGGGACAAACTCAAAGCATAACAACAGTGCTGAAAGGTACACATGAAGAGTATCAGAATATTTATTCCTCAATTCTTGAGATGAAAGCTCACTGAATTACAAGAAACTAATCTGACTACTAATCATACCTATTTCAAATCTGAATTCATGTCTGAATAAATCCCTTGTCCTATCAAGGATATACTCTAAAGGATTAAAACCGTGTGGTGGCTTATATAAAAGTGCTGATCTAGTTAAATTCTACCCGTACGAGATTCATTCAAAAATTTTTAAACACACTTTTGAAAGAATAACTTCCAGAACTGTACTTTTCATTGTTCCCAAACATCATTGAAGATCATTAGAACAAAGAGACAGCACTACACAACCAAGCCACACTCCCTTATGGTAGTTAAATACACTTATTTTTCGGATGAGTAAGAAAATAAATATTGATGGCAATAATAGTTGCAACACGACGAGAGAATTCACATACACATAACAATCTGAAAAAACACATGGCAGAATACTAATTGTGGTGCTTCACAACCAGTTAAACAGGTGAAGTTATGCTGCATGGTAAAAGATCCAGGTCCAGATCACATAGAAGCTAGGTAGAAGATCAAAGTATCGCAAATCCAAACCTACATTTATCTCAAAGTGACAAGACATGGATAAAATCCATGCTCTAATTTGAACAAGTACATCAACCACCCAAAAAAAGGGACAAGATCGTCAAGACAAACCCAAAAGAAAAGGGCAAAAGCAAAGCAGAACTAATTTGTATACATCACAAAAGGAACTGCAGGAGGCCCATACAAGTGGTTAAAACTATACCAGTGCGCAAAACTCAGGTGGAGTGTAAGCCAGGTTGGTACTATAACTCTTCCCATCTCTGCTGTTCTTCATAAGACCAAAACTAGATATCCGAGGATCGCCATCCTGATCAAGAAAAGAATGATCACATGTAAGGGATGCTCACCCAAAACAATCAACTGACACTACCATGTTCACTTGTTGAAACAGATTATAGTATGTATCCTAGAATAGAAATGTGGATGAAGTCAAAATTGAAGCAATATTCATTCTTCTTACTGTGATATCAAGACCACTAGTTTTTCTCTGGGGAATATATTCCCTAGTTAATATAATAAGGTACACTATTCTACTACAGATTCCTAAAATGTGACAAGAAACATAAATGGAATTGCACTTATTTAATTTACAATACTCCAGTTTGAATGTAATTTGAAAGCATAGCGGCATAAAAAGTCTACCATCCATCTTATTTCATTTCAAATAGATTGATGGACACTTCTTAATGCACCATGTATACAGAGCTATCATCCATTTTCTCCAGAAAACTTATTAGCGTTCCATACAAAACTTTATATGAAACAATTCAAGTACCAAACTGGAACACTGTTATTATTGAAACGGGCTAACTTGTTCGTTTCCTTTTTCTTGGTGCTAATGTCATGTCTTTTCAGAGGATAGTGGGAAGGGGAAGAAATAGTTGGATGTATCATAATGCAGATCTCATTTATGCAAATAGAAACCACTAGATTCATTTACAACATCCAAGAAACACTCGTTATCCAAAAGCATCATGGAACTTAAAGGACTTAAAACATACTCACTCATTTCGGTTTCCTTATTTCAATCACATAGTAAGTCTAATAGAAAATTCTTCAGCACCAAATTTGAATATTTTGAGGATAGAATATTTTTAATTAATATAGAAGAGTTGCAGCTTTGCATATAACTCTTCTCATCTATATGGTACATAGACCAACATCTAGCAAATTGCTTTCCAAGGTAAACCTAAAATCCTTCCAAGCTGGTCAGGCTAGCTACCTCATCAAAAAGAACCCTGTACGCATTCAAATCATGATAAATTTTTCTGTTTTCTGCAATGCAATGGTCAAGAGCCTGGGCAATATGGTAAGCAACTCTAACACGCATTTCCCATGGCAGAGGCTGTTTGTCCCCTGCAAAAAACACATGAACTTATGGGTGAATAACCAGAGGCTGCCAAATAAATTAAGCAAAAAATACTATCATAATCAAAATCATGTGGGAAAAAAAAAAGAAAAAAGAGCACCAATAGCCATGCAAATTCAGGTATAACATTTGCAACAGCATATTAGTTGAAGGATGCAGATCTAGCAAGAGTTGCTTGTTCCTTATACAGAGAGGCTGGCCTGAGCAAAGGAAGATTTGTAGATGGGATTACAGAGCCATAAGAACAATTTATAGTGCTATCCTTGTGCTCAGTTTGATTAGTTAATCAGCTGCCTAAGGAGAACAAAGAGGGTAAGCAAAATACTGGACGACAACTCTTCAAGGGGAACAACATATAAAGGAATATATTTACATAAGCTGTTCACGTGCCAACTTAAAGAAGATAAGCAGCTCAGGAAAGAACATTCTCGATGAAAGAAAGGGTAGCTATGCAGATCATGAAAGTCCAACAAAAGACACAGTAGAATGTGAAGTTTACACACCCATTCCAATATTCAGTTGACAAATGATATTGATGCCCACGATAAAAGATAAGCCAAAAAAAAGGTTGTGATTTCTTTTCCTATAAATGACTACTAATGCATGATTTAACATTTTTCTGTGTGTGAGGCATTGACCACAGTTTTTTACAATCACCCATCATTACTTCCATTCTGGCAATGGTGGTAAAAAGATTCAGATATACTGAATAGTTTCAAGAAGAAATCTACTAAAGTAGGATCACGAGGCAAAATTCAATAAACCTTACAGTGAAATAGATGCTTTGACAGTGTATCATTAGGCATATATTCTGCGACCAACAATCGCTCATCTCCCTCAGCACAACATCCTATAAGATTCACCAATTTCTTGTGCCGAAGCTTGCCAACACCAGCAGCTTCTGCCTGCATGAGGAGCACAGCAAAAGCAGTATAAAGACCACAATGTATGGTAGGAAAAGGCTAGGAAAATTTTACACATAGGGAGGGTAGGTCAGAAAATTGATACCAATAGAACATCAAGTACGAATATAATGATTGACTGCCAACTAGTTGATAAGACACATGAAACCATAACCCAGAATTATCCCAAGCGTAGCAATAGACACTACTGATAACTTCAAACATCTTCAAGAACTAAAAAAACAAAAGCCGGAGGGTCACATTAGCTGTTAGATAACGAATACTTCCAACTGTAACAACTATGGGCCATTAGATGACAAGGGGTAAAAATCCAGCACCATGAATGACAAAATAAGACAAACTTGTATTGTGTGAAGAAAATATCATAAACCAAGATATAACAACACAAACTTTTGAACTATTTACTATTTTAGAGAGAAATCTACGTTAGCAGTACACATGCAGTCACATTCACAACCATTTTATGATTATAGTAGATAAACATTATTGTTGGCCAAACAATCTTACTATAACAGGAACCCCAAAAATAAGATGGTGTCAGCTCCCCAAAGTGAGATGCAGTAACCAAGATGTGTCTCAAAGAAATGCTATTTCTTAAAGCTATACAATGTGAATTGGTCATCAAACTAGAATAGTTGTTGCATTTCTCTTTCAGTGTGACATACGCGAACATCATCAGATAATTTTACAAGCTAATGAATCTAGCTGTCAAACTGAACAATAATATTTACCACAAATTGTTGGGGGTCAGGCCAGGACTGTCTTGAGAAACGCTTAATGGCAACAAGCCGGTTATTCCGAAGCTTTCCTCTGTAAACAACATTGGGAGCTTTCTCTCCACTTTCAGAGACTATCAATTCACTGCTGAACCCATTTGTAGCAGCTCGGAGTTCAGCAAGACCAAATTCCTTAAAAACAGGTACTTGATCTTGGTCTATTTGGTCCCCATTAACTTCACCATCATTAAATATACAATGACACGGCCAACAAAAAAAAATTAGGTTGGTCGACACAAATCATAACATTTCCATTTCTAAGCATATCAATGTATCAAGCAAACAAAGACACCAAGACCCAAATTTAACAAGTATTTCTTTTAGGAACATGTTAGTAGTAATCAATAAGCAAAACTACTAAAAAAAGAAATTAAATTACATAACTCTCGTACATGTGAGATAAACAAAAATAGGGCAGTTTTTACGTCAAATATCAGTCAATCATCCAAAAATAATGAAAAAAAAACTCCAAAATAATTGCAAGCATTTATGAAAGACCCGAAAATAGAAATTTAAAAAACAAAAAATGAACACATCATACATGTACATAAAACCGAAGCAAACAACTTACCACAAAATTTAAAAAAAAAAAAAAAAGATAATTAAGAAAATGACAATTGACCGAATAGATGCTATAACACCCTTATCAAAGTTTAAATTTTAACCAAAATTCAACATGCAAGTAGCCCATACATCAAACCCCAAAAAAAGCCCACCAAAAAAGAGATAGAGGGAGGGAGATAGATAGAGAAAAATGAATCTTGACTACAGGTTCATGAAACTCCAGAAAAGTAATTATTAAATAACAGGCATAAGACTGAAGAAAACAAAAGGAAAAAAAAATTGAGTAAAAATGTGATACCAAGATCTGGTTTGGAGTCGGGCTGAGAGGGTTCTTGGTCAGGGGACTGAACATTGGCAGTTTTGGACTGAAAACAGCCCATTTTTTCAATGCTCACATAGACCAAACACACACCTCAAGAAAGAAAAACACACACGCTTCTTCACACTCAGCTGAATCCCTTGTTTCCGTTCTCACTTGTAACTCACCCTCCCAAGTCCCACCTGGGTTTTCAAAGAACTGAAATGGGGATTTTTTTTCCTTTTCTTTTCAGTTAAAGCATGGGGATTGTTTCTTTGCAGGTCAATGAAAAGGAAGAAGAGTCAGCTAACCGGTACCATGATTGTGCCCTTTTTGTGTATGTGGTTTTTGTGTGTGTTGTGTGTCCAAGAGGGAACAGTGTAAGGGTGGGGTGGGGGCTTTTGATGAGTGATGATTGGGGAACTGAGTGCAGTTTGGTTTGGAATATGTTGGGTGGGGGTTATGAGAGGGAGATGGAGAAGGGGTGTCACATGATAACCGGATGATGAGCACGTGAAGAGAGAGGTGGGGAAGTAGAAACGGCTGGGGGTGGGGATGGTGACTTCGGTTACGTCTTTTACATACATATGCTGCCGTCAGTGGTAAGCAGGCTTTTGTTTTCACATTGCAGCGAAGGCAGCGTTTCTTGTGAATCCGTGGATTGGAATTTGGAACTTTCTCCGGTGTTTCATCCTTTTGGCTCTCTCTCTTCACTTCACTTCAGGGTAAATTGCAAATACTCTAGTTAATAATTTCATCCAATTTAGTGTTTATTTTTCAAACATGGTAGAATATATTGTAGACCTAGTGGGAGGGAACTGAATCACAACAAATCCAAATAGGTGTCCGTGCACCCGTTGATAAAATCTCTAAAAAAACTTGTTGGATTTTAAGAATGCAGGCCAAGAGATTTAAAGTTCAAATAATTTACCTACACCGAAATAGAGATTTAAAACTCTCTTGGTGATCAACTAATAGAGGAGTAGAGTTGGTTTCATCCAATTTAGTGGTGGCACTATAAAATTTTTGTATTTGTAACTTGTTTACTTGACATAAGCTTAACAATTGTGAGAATTGGGCATGGTTCAAGGTAAATTTTAGATTATTTTTTTATGCACTGTTAATGTATATGCAAGGGGTTTAGATGCATATTACGTAATCTAATTTTAAATTCACTTTTTACATAAATGGCATACATTTATATCTATTAATGTAAAAAAAATCTATTACAATGACAAAATCTACTACATTGACCGTAAATAAAACTTAATCCAAATTCTTAAAGTGTCAATAAGGGCACTTACATGGCAAATAATGATGGATATTCTGCATTATTGAGTTCGGCGCCATAATAGAACTTGTAGTTTAGTATCTAGGGGTATTTGTTCCTTGTCTAAGTAATTTTCATATATCTAACTTTTTTATTTCTCATATGATCCTTCTCATTCTTTAAGACAAAAGAAATCTCAAATTTATGACTAGAGAGTTAGGAACTAAGGATCAAGAATGACAATCAATTTCAAGGGTGTCAATTTGATAAATGGCATATTAAGCAAAAAAAAAAAAATGTATCGTTTGATTGTTGGGATACATGTAATGATTTGTAAATTGTAGTAATAGATCTAAGCGTACGAAAACTTTAACCTATAAAGTAGGGCAAATTATCCAATTGGCTCTTGAACTCTTTGTCTAGGTAAAAATAAGTCTCTCATCTATTTTTTGCTGACTTTAAGCCCTCGAACTTGTAATATTGGGCACCCGTGACCCTTTTAGCCAGTTTCTCCGGTTGGCGAATTCACACGAGTGGCAGTATGCTTTGAAAAATGGCATTTTTGTCAAAAGATTCAAAACTCGCGCGACGCTAGGGTTTCAGTACTCCCCTCTTTCAATCTCTTCCACACACAGTAGAACACGGTAGCTAATGCATAGTTGATTTGATTGGTCTCAATTCTCAGCCGACGACAGTCCATCTATGGCTGAGGAACCAGTAAATGACACCGTTGCTCCTCCGTCTCTGGCCAATCAATCCAATAGTAGTGTTGTGCCGTTGGGGAGCTAGGTCATTCCGATCGTCAACAAGCTCCAAGACATATTCGCGTAGCTCTCCAGTCAGTCTACAATTGAATTGCCGCAAGTGGCGGTCGTCGGAAGCCAAAGCAGTGGAAAATCCAGTGTTCTGGAGGCACTAGTCAGAAGAGATTTCTTGCCCAGAGGTTCGGATTTTTGTACTCGACGACCTCTCATTCTTCAGCTCGTGCAGACTAGACGAAAACCTGATGGCACCAAGTGGGCCCTCCACTGGATCGACAGGTCCGAGTCCTTCGCGGAGCGCCTGGTGGCCTTTGCCTACGTGGAGGGGATATTCTTCTCAGGGAGCTTTTGCGCCATATTCTAGGTGAAGAATTGGGGGCTGATGCCGGGCTTGACCTTCTCCAACGAGCTGATCTCGCGGGATGAGGGGCTTCACTGTGACTTCGCGTGCCTGCTGTACGGGCTGCTGAGGGCGAAGCTGAGCGAGGAGATTTTGATCTCAGAGATGGAGGGCTTCACTGTGACTTCACTGAGGGAGGCCATGGCTGAAGCCATGGAGGACTCGGAGATGGTGTCCATGGGGAGGAGACGAATGGAAGGGAGAGGGAGAGGTTGTGGGAGAGAGGAGAGGAGAGGAGAGGAGAGGGAGACGGCATCGGTGAAGAAGTCAATGAAGTGGGGGAGGAAGATGAGGTCGTCGTAGGTGTAGGAGTAGTCCATGGAGGGAGAAGAGAGAGGAGTTGTTCCTTTTTTGCATAGAATATGCGGACAAAAATGCCCTTTTTAAAGCATACTAGCATTCGTATGAATTGGCTTTCTGGTTGCAAAACCGGATAAATTGGCCAAAAGGGTCACGGGTGCCCAATTTTACAAGTTTGAGGGCTCAAAGTTGACCAAAAATAGTTAAGGGACTTAATTTTACTTAGACTAAAGGTTCAAGGGCCAAATGGATAATTTGCCTTATGAAGTATTGATAATTTGTCTGTGGATGAATTTTTTTTTTTTTTTTTTGCCGGAGATGATAAACCTAATCTATCCTATACTAAGGAGAAGGGAGCGCACCTAAGGAGGTTCAGGGATAAGCCGGAGGGGACTGAACCACCAGTCCAAACCAGACAGATGCATAGCACACCCACCTGAATTTTTTAGAGACAAGTCACAAAAATGTGACATTTTTTGTGAGGCAAGGTTCCCACCTCACCAAGTAGGTGGTGGCCACTGAGCAAAAGGCCCAGTGGTTTGTTTGTGGATGAATCACATTCCCCTCTTTGATGCTTTTGGACGAAAAAGGGGAAAAGACACTCAATTCAACTAATTAAAACGTAACAACTCACTGATGCAAAAATATTCCACTTCATCATTGTTTTATTATCTGTCTTCCAATTTCCAAGTGATGAAACAGAGTACATTTCAATATCTTTTTGGGGTAATTATGAGATTCACAATGATGGTCGAGTATATTACATAGATTAATTAATTAAGGCTACTTATGCCCACTATTGTTTGAGGGTTATTTTGGGAAAATCAAACAATGGCTCTATTTTTTTTTTTTTTTACTTTGTGCTATTTCTTTGGTTTTTCAGTAATTTTACCTATGATTTCATGGATTATTGGGTTTTTGTTTGTCTAACCTAATGCCTAGGATCAATTGGTAATATTCTTTGGAAGTTGGGTGATGATCTATTAATAATAAAGTAACCCCGCTTTTGGTATGCCAAAATGCCCATAATAAAGGCACCTTTCCACCCAAAATACTTTTTTTTTACTTGATGTGATATGAAAAATTTTTATCATTCTAGTGTCTAGTACACAATTCAGAATGGATAGTGTATTATTTGAAATAATTACTGTAGCACTTTTTGTGATGTGATATATGTAAGATAAAAATGTGATTGAGAAAATAAAAAGATGGGTTGGAAAATGTGTTTATGATGCAAGCGAAATATTATTTGGGATAAAAGCACTATCCAAACAAAATATTTAGATGTGTGAATGGAATAAATTCTATGCAGATTTGATTTAATTACTCCGCTACAAGACATTACATGTTTTTAATCTTGTTTTATTTATTTGTGCTATGCTATATGTTTACCTTATCCAAGGTGCTTTGACATGTTTTATTTTAAAAATAATTTAAACACTTATTGAAATAAAATTAAGTGTAACAATTTATTAATCCGAAATATGAATCTATATTTTGATTTTTTTTATTACATTAGCAGTATAAGTATCAGTTTATGAAAAAAAAAATCAAATTACATGAACTCAAGCATTCATGTTCTACTTTTATTATGTTTTCATTGTCTAATATTTGGTAATGGAGTAAGTAGATGTAAAATAAATAAATAAATAAATTTGACCGAGGTTTTGCTTTTCAAAAGCAAAGGTTCTAAATCAGCCTTGAATTGGAATTTTTAATTTTTTCTTTTTGATAGAAAAGTTTTTAAAGTTGTTCTTAAGTTTGTGGCCAACAACCCTTATAAGAAGTCCAATACATTTGGAGGAGAAATTTGGTGAAATTATTGAATGCCATTAGCGGAGGAGATTGTCTGCAGCTACAGATAATAACTTTTTGTAGAATTTTTTGGCTAAATTTGAGGCTCAAAATAAACTCCATCCGACAAAAGAAAAAGACCAAGTTATTCGTGGGCCTTTTTGACTTTTACTTAACAGAAGACCCATGACTTAATTTCACGATAATAAAGACAGACAATCATCCTTAAAATGCCCAGAAAATATACCAGAAAATGGTCATTGGAAAAATTGAAACACCAGCAACTTCAAACTACTATACCAGAAATTTGAGAAAATGAGGATGAGAGATTTGCCATATTTGACCTTGACAAATTCATGGTTGAGATTTGATTAATTGTTAGTACTACTTTTTTATTTGGCATAACCTGTTGAAAAGCATTTAACTTGGAGAAAAAATAAATTAATAGAGCAGTTAAATTAGAAGGAAAGTATTAATGCTTTAGCCCAATCCATGAATTGTGTCCAATGGTCGCCAATCATGATCCTTAGATTTAGGGCCCAAGTCCAGTGTTAGAACTTGAGCCATCCTTTTGAAAGAAAAAAGGGAATAAAAAAAGAATAAAAATGGTGCGTACCAAGCCACTAAAGATTGAGGCAAGAACAAGCATTAGATCAAGGAATTGATGGTCAAGATTGATTATATGGTAATTAAATCCATGATTGATAAGAATTAATGTATATAACCATTGGGTTTTTATCCAATAATCGAGAAAGAAAGAAAAGAAAGAAAAAAAAAAGAAAGAGTTTTTTTTTTTTTTTAGTATAGAAATTTAGAAACCTAGCTATGGTTGAAAAATTTTTTTCTTTTTATTTTATTTTATTTTTTTTGTTTTTGAATCCTTACTTTTCCCGCGAATGTGACGCGAGCACGTCAAGAGGGC